TATATATATATATATATATATATATATATTTGTCATCAAACCACCCTTAAATTAGAAAGAATGGATATTGTTGTCTCTGTTCTACACAAAAAGATAATGCTGGCCTGAAGAAATTAAGTAACACATTTAAGGGCACACAATTAAGCCAAGACTTGTGGGAAGCCAACACTCCAATCCAGCTTACCCGATTTGCAGTCTAGTGCGATAACTGGAATTCTCAACCTTGGCTGTTCTTTAGAACCACTTGGGGAGCTTCTAAAAACCTGAATGCCCACGCTGAACCCCAGACAAAACAGACTAGGATCTCTGGAGGTAGAAACAAGCACCAGTAATTCTTAAAATTCCCCAGGTGATTCCAAAGCACAATCAAGACTGAGTATCTTTCCCTGATCTAATCATTACACATTATAGTCTCATACTGAAAACTCATACTGTATGTACAATTATTATATGAAAAAACTGGTAATCTATATCATTCATTACAAGATTGAACCTGGACACATTTTTCCAGAAAAATAGGATTTATTGACAAGATTTATCAGCACATAGATTCATATACCACAAAGTATAGAATGAGAAATAACTACAGAAATACAGGACTTTGTGGGGTTGTCTAGGTGCAGCCATAACAACAGGGATGCCGAGTTCTAAACAATCATCAGATAATCTTTTGAAACCCCTATGAGTATACGCTAGGGCTGCCTGTGCAGTGAGCCAAAGTGCTGCTCCTTGGCTGCAGGCCACTACTTTTCTTCACTAAAACTTAATGATTGCAGAAGAGAATGCCAGGCTTGGGTCTGAAGATCTAGAAACCACTTCAGTGTTAGTAACTGTCAGGTACTGCAACCCCAAACAGCCTTGGTTTCCCAGTGACTTGGGATGGCCTCAATCATTCTCTATTCTCTAGCTAGCCTTAGGATGCAAACAGAACACTCTCCAGGGAGAACAACTGCTGTTAAACAGTGCACCAAGAAACCATATAGCTTTCGCCCTGCAGGGAGTGCAGAGGTAGGGGGGATTAGTGGAGTGGAATGTAATTGTCCTAATTGAAATGTGGCCAAAGCTCTGAGGAACTAGGAGAGGCAACCAGCCATACTCAAAACAAAGCAGCCCAGTATTCTCTGATGCTCAGAAATAAAGGAGAGAGAAATTAGAATGAGCATGGGCAGAGCTTCAAACACGGGCCATAAAGATGCCAAGAAAATGATTTCACACCCCTACAGCTCAGCTGAGCAACATCTAAAAGTATATGCAAGTATATGAAAGGAGAGTGTTCATTACCAGAAATCTCTAGATGGTTTTAATTTGAGTTGAGGTTGCTGGTTTATGGGGCCGGCTTCAAATCAATGGCCTAAAACAAATTGTCTTTAAAGAAAGCAATTTTCTTCTATAACTTTCCTTGCTTGTACATGTACAAGACATATAAGCAAAAATGTTTCCTTTGATTATTACAATAGGAATTAAGATAAGTTTACAGGGATTCGGATAAGCTTAATTTATATAGGACACACACAAACACACACACACACACACTCACACTCCTCTACGCATGTTACAGAAATATCTTTTAACAGCAGTCCAAGAACAACATTACTGCCTATTTTGTTTACCTGGAATTCATCCTCCTGTCCTGGACGGAAGAGCTGCTCTGGGCTGTCCTTGCTGAGACTTATTGGCCCGGTGACTCCTTCATCTCCATACACCCAGAGTGTGACATTGGCTTGAGTCCCTGTACTTCCCGTCAGCACTAACACCTTCCATTTATCTTCTAACAGAAGAGTCTCACTGCTTTGGGGACGCTGGATTTCTTCTACTGGGGGAAAGCGGCATTAGTGGCAGATCACATACAACATCAGGCTGACAGAATCTTTTGTCACATCAGAGCCCAAGGACATCAAAACTTGGCAGGGTGGTGGAGAGGGGTGAGGCGGGGAGGCTCTGAAAGGCACGGGCTCCAGGGAGTTGATTTGTGCTTGTCTCCTCACAGCAAGGTTCTGGTCAACTGAAACTCAACCACTGAAGTAAATTGAATTAGAACAATAAACAGCTGAAGTGCCTGGCAATCTCTCACTTGTCTTCACTGCTACAACACGACCCGCAGTGGGTGCTGGAGTTTGCAGTTCTGTGTCCGCAGATTTTTCATAAGGCTGCCTGCCTGGTTTATAGATTTTATAGAGAACTACTAGAATATCAGTAACAAAAGAGAACTGGAATTAGGCACACTTCCAAATAAGATATATAAAAAAAAAAATGGCAAATTGAGGACAGAAACATTTTCTGAAGTATTTCTGAAAATAAACACCCTCCTAGACAGGGGTCCATGAGAGCAAGAGCTGCACCGTGCTGTGTCCGAGGCAGCCCCAAGCAGCCAGTGCCCACACAGCCTCCCCTTGTTTGTGAGGGACAGTACGAAGCCCCAAACTAGACAGCTGTCTTCACAGTCTCTAGCCAGCTGCCTCATCGGAGGCGCTTCAAAGGCCTGCAGTGCCGACAGCATCTCCCAGCCTACGCTGCATCAGCTGTCTATGCGAACAACCGCACCTGGATTCCTAACAGAGAGTCCCACAAAGATTACTGCATGCTCGGGACCAGCAGTTAGCATAATGGCTATGTCACTGGACTCCCATGTAGCTGATCGCAGTTCAAGTCCCGGACCCAGTGGCTTAAACTCATGCCGGGCGCATGTGCGTGTGTGCCCAAGATCCCGAGAGGAGAACAGAGGAGAAGGGATTGTGGCGTGGCTATCCCCCTGGGGGGTGATTTCTCGCTTTCTGTCTCTCTGTCTCTGTCCGTCTGGCGAGCACATGTGCCCTATAGCAAAAACCTCTCCAAAAAAAAAAAAAAAAGAATATTGCATGCTCAAGGTAATAAGGTAAAGTTCCTCATGTCACGTGGCTAGAAGGTACTCAGAACTCTTCTTTTAACTCTGTGGCTTGACACTACAGGCAGGATCTTATCCATAAACTGGGAATGACGGTGACAATAAACACAACAAAGTAGTTATTTCTTGCCAAGCTATAATGAATTTTGAAATAAGCACTATGTAAAGAGATTATAAATAGAAACAAATACTATGAAAGAACTGACACATTTTTTAAAAAGTTATCCTTTCTTTGCTGGCCTGGATAATCTCGGTCATTATAACAGCAAGTTTTTCCCCTTCAATTATAATGATAATCACCACTTACTAAGCTCCTACTATGTGCTGAGCTCTGTGTCAAATGTTTCACATGTACTTCTTATTCAATACTCATCATAAACCCATGAGGTAAGACAAATTATGACATCCTTTTTAAAAAAAAATTTTACCAGAGGGTACATATGCTTGCAGGAGAGAGAGAAAAAGAGAGATAGAGAGACTGCAAAAAAACACCCCTCATGGGGAATGGTCACACTGCCACCCCTTCTCCTCCACCTCTCCCTCCTTCTAGGATTTTGGGCACATATATACACGCACCTCACATGTTTTTCAAGCTGTGTGGTCCTGGACTTGAATCATGAGGTCAGCCACCACACCATAGACTGACGCCACAATGCCCATTTTAAGATGAGGAACAGAGGCAGGCAGGTTAAGTAACATGCCCAATTCACATAATGAGCAAGCCATGGAATGCTTTAGTCCAAAGCCCCTGCACCCAAGCAAGCCTGAAGGATGTTTTCTGTGTATGCCAAACACAGTTTAGCAGCAGCGCCATTGCTAGCACTTAGATTTTACTCTGGGCTAAGCAGTGTCCTAAGCGCTTAACATTCATCACCATGTCACTCTTCCCCCGGCCCTACCCTAGGCCTATGAGGAACTGTCTCTTCTCAAGCAGGTGAGCAAACCAGAACTCAGAGGTTATGCAACTCACTCAGAGTTACACACACAGTAACAAAGAAGAAATCAACTTCAAATACAGGCAGAGCAAGTATGCATCCCAGGCCATTTTAGGTATAATATCACAGATAACTGAGCTCGGGGCCAGTAAGTAGTGTGGGAGTTGGGGCACTGGACTCCCACATAGCCAACCATGGTTTCAGTCCCAGACCTAGTAGCTTGCTTTCACTCTCTCTGGTGAGTGTATGTGCCCTACAGCAAATTAATAACAATCATGATTAATAAAATTCAATAAATGACTTTTTAAAAGTAACTGACCTGGAAAAGATGACAAAAAATTGGTCCAAGAAAATTTTATGATATAATCTAATTTTCAAGATGTAACATTAGATCTGAACACCAGACTGCCCTACCTGATATTTCTAATCAAACACAGTAGGAATTTCCCCAGGTCCTAGACAATAGCACAACCAAATCTCCACTGATGAAAGCTTCACAGCACAACCATGAGTCCCAGGGAGGAATCAGTGGTCCTAGATCAGGAGGGCACTCTGTAGGATGTTAATCATTCACTTTATGGCTTATGAATACCTAGTCATCTACAAAGGTCACTTATTAGTTTTAAAAAATTGTATTTAGTTCCCATTACTTGCTGGGCACTGGGTTAAGTTCATTGCCCTCTTATAATAATGGCACTGATTAAAATAAAGAGAGCCTCACCTTGGAGATACATGCTATCCAGTGGAGAAAGTATGACTAATTGGATTTCAAACATACAAATACATTCTTGGGCAAAAAGATACAACAGAGAGCAGGGAATGATTAACTGTGCAGGGGTAAGCAGGACAGGCTTCAAAGACGGACTCTCGGTGCTGGATGCCAAAAGAGCTCAGGACTTTGTGGAAGACAGGAAGGGCCTAACAGACAGGAGACGGGGTGCGGCATGCACACGGCGGGGGCGGGGGGAGGGGGAGAGCAGCAGCCATGCTGAAGAGCTGCAGGTGCCAACGTGTGGTGGAAGAGAACCCCAGATACTATGTGCGAAGAGGCAAGAGGAACATGAAGCGGAGGTCATGAAAGGCACTGAGCCAGGGGGAGAGGAGCACATCCTTACACAGTTACAATTCTAGATACGGTGGTGGAGTGATCCAAGATCCCGAAAGAGCATTCTGAAACAGAGTGGGCTTTAACAGAACGAGACTCAGGCAGGAAGGGCAGTGAAGAAAAAAATGAACAGTGAAAAGTAAAGAAACAAACCAACCCTGGAATAGGGTAGAGACTTTGGTTATTGATTTTATGTTTTTTTAAATGTTCATACACAAATGCACACACATCTGTATATGTGTGTGTGCACGTATGTGCAACTTGTTCAATTTTATCTGCAAACGAGCTGGTCCCTCAGGCCCCTTCTTCCTGTACTAACATCTTCTTACATCATTTGTACAACCGTAACACATTGTCAGGGTGCACTCATGCTATAAAAATGGATGACTTAATATAGTGTAATCTATAACATAGAATAATATATTAGTTTGCCATTATCAATTAAATATGAATAACAGCTAATGCCATGATCTTTTGGAAATGAATCAAAGTCCATTAGTCTCAGACTATAAATTCTCCATCTGAGGACCATAAAAGCTGTTGCTTTTGTTGACTAAAAGTTTAAAAGACTCTAAGTTGGGAGAATATTTCATGGGGATCCTAAAATAGTGAACAGACTCCTTCAGGGTCTCTTTGAATAAAATCCATAGTACCTAAAATGTATTCAGATGACTCAAAAACGTCCTCTGTGGGGGTGACAGAACACTTCAAGTGCCAGTCAGTTTGATTCAGACCACACAAAGAAAGAAAATGCTAAACTACCTTTGTGCTTTTGGTCTCCTGAAGCTCTAGAAGAAAAAAATTCCTCATAGAAATAAAGAACAATTAGTTGCTTCTAACAGCTCATGGTTTGATCAAAGATGAGGCAATTTAACACAGGAATTACCATCGCAGACTGGCCATAAGAACACAAATTGTATACTATTCTGAGAAAGTGTTTTAGAAAGTTGGTTTATACTAAAATGTGAAACAGCCATTAAAAGCAAAGGCCTGTTAACATTTGATAGCACAATAATGGAAAAAATTTAACCCTAGCTTCAAAATGTAAAATTATCTGGAAAAAAATTAAAAAGTAAAAGCATTCATTCTATCATTAGCTTGCAATGAAAAAAAAAATCTATGTCCACACAAGTAACATAAATAGTCTTGGCTTTTGTGTGAATACCAATTTAAACTGTAGCAGGCAATTACACAAAGTAGAAGATGCACAAAGCTGGTAGAGATAGCTATGAACAGGAAACAGGATCAAATAATCAAAGGTATCCCAATATAATAGAATGTTGGATTGATACCAAGAAGATATAACTAACCAGGACCAAAACAAAGGTCTACATCTAGGTTGAAAACATGTTACATATTTTGCACTGAAAGGATGGTATGAATAAACCATCTCAGTGATTTTGTTTGTTCATTTGTTTGTTTGGAGAGGTTTTTGGTACAGGGCGCGTGTGCCCACCAGAAAGACAGAGACAGAGAGACAGAAAGAGAGAAATCACCCCCAGTGGGAATGACCACACCGCAATTCCCTCTCCTCCATTCTCTTCTCGGGATCTTGAGCACGCACGCACACATGCCTGCCATGAGGTTAAGCCACGGGGTCCAGGATTCAAACTGCGGTTGACTATATGGGAGTCCAGCAACATAGCCATTACGCCAAATGTTGCCTCCTTGGTGATCTTAATAACCCCAAAATGCAATAAAGAAGCCCAGAAGGCGAAGAGACTCATAAGAGCATTAGTAATCTATTTCATGAAATCCTGCAAGAAAACTTTTCAAATCTAGAGAGGCACTCAAAGATCCAGTCCCAAGAAATAGGAAGGACCCTAAATAGAATCAACCCAAGAAGATCTTCTCTAAAACACATTATAGCCAGGTTGACCAAAACCACAGAC